CATCCATTAATTTGATACTGCGCCGCTTCGATCATCATCTCGCACGTGTTACCGGGGCACATTTTTGCGGTTCACACCATATTTGATAATCCCTTAATAAACGTATTAACAAGAATAAACCGAAAATTAATCAAAGAACCTGCATAACTCTTAAATTGCGCAAAGCCTTAACAATACAGCCGACTATAATTACTAAATTAAAAAGTCCCAAATTCTCGCGCTCTCTCAAAACGCTTACACACAACCATTAAAACAAATAACCGTCTTGACAAAGAGAAACCCTTCTAATGTTGATGGTCTAGAACAAAAATTCGGCAATAGGAATAGGAAGTCTCTCCTTAAACCACAACACCTGCATTTGTAGGGGATGTAATTATTTTGAAATCAGTGATTCGTAAACTTTATTTATTTTGATTTGTAAGCTTATTTATAATAATTATTAAAATACTTTTTACTATCATGAATTTTCTTTCGAACTTTATATCTTTCGTATATATTTTAAAATGTCTCATATGTCTGATCGACAATTACATTAGTACTAAAAACATAAATAATATTTTAGAAATACTAATAGAAGAATATTCTAATAGTACTCATAAAAAAACTATTGATATTCTCGAAAAAGAAATTAATGGTTACTCATTTCATCTCCAAATAACATCTATTTTATTTTCTGATTTCAAAATTTCAAAACAGAAATAGGACTTTTTTAAACCCCCATTTATTTTCGATATAAGTTAACTTTGAATCACCTTATTTACCTTATTTAGGTAGGGATGGATCGGTCTTCGTAAAGACCGGGACCAGACTGTAAAAGACTGAAGACCGAATGATCGGTCCTAAATAGTCCGGTCCCGGTCCTGATTATGAATAATAATAAATAATAATAAGTATTTACAACCCTTTTCAACCATGAGTGACGATGAAATTTCTTCCTTCCATCTTCTGATGTTTCTCAGTGTGTTGAAGGATATGATAGTGATTCTAATGAAATAAATGTTGATTTATTGACGGCCGTAATAGTCAAAAAAGTCAATAGTTTGGCTAGACTTTAATACTGAGGATAGTTAAACATCTATATACTTAATTCTTGTTAAATTAGCTTCGCATATATAATATTTATATCTATATTTATGTATGCTGTATTTTTATGAAATAAATCTATTAAAAATTTGCTGCTAATTAATAAAAATTTGGCCCCTAATAAATAAAAATTTGACCGTTAATTAATGAACTAATAAATAAAAGGTTTAATGTTATGCATAAGTCGTGTGACCAATTCTGGACTGGGACCGACCGGGACGGACTGATCCATCCCTATATTTAGGCCAATTATAAAATCATTGCAGAGAATTTATACAATGCCCCATGAAAAATTTGACTACTAGTATGTATGTAAATATAGATTTTGGCTGAGATAATCAATGTTCCTCCGGTTAGGGTGTGTCGTTATAATAAATTTATATGTCTAACCAGGGTTATCGGTCTAGATCAGAGTTTCAGAATTTTTTTTTGGGATTTGGCATTGATTTATTGTCAGGAGCGTAACAGAAGACTTGTTACGTACTTTACAGAAACCTATGTTTTTGCTAAATATGTTTACAATATATCTATAATATATCAACTACATTATTATTATAT